GGCCCAGCAGCGGCTGCACGTGCCCAGCTCGGTCTCCTGCCTCCACAGGCGGCTCCCAGAGGGGGACTGGGAGAGGGTGGGCAGGTGAGGACTCTTAGGAGGATGCAGACCCGCTGGGGAGCCTGCCCGAGGCCCCTGGCGGGAGGCTCTGCCCACATCTGTGTCCCTGAGAAGGCGCGCGGCTGGGGGTTGGAGGCCCCTCGTGGCGGGGGGGGGGGGGGGGCCGGGCCTGGGCCTGGGGCGACGGGGACCCGCAGGAATCGCTCAGAGCCCGGGTGGCGAAGGGGCAGGGCGGTGTGTGTGTGTAGGGGGCCCCCTTCGAAGTTCCTGCCTCCTTAGGTTCCAGCGCCGGCTGCGCGCGCGCCTCCGGGCGGCCACGGGCAGCGGCGCGCGGCGACAGGGGGTGGGGCCCGGGACCGTGGGCAGGTGGACCTCCGGCGGCCCGGGAGCCCCGGGGGCCTGCGAGCCTGGCTGCGCTCCGGGGCCAGGGCGGACGCGGCGGAACACACCCACGGCACCGCGCCGGCCCTGCCCCGCGCCCCTGGGGCCGCCCCGGGGGACCCGGAGACCCGCGCGCGCGTCGCGGCTGCAGCCCCGGCAGGGCCCACCCGGCCCCGCGTCCGCCGGCTACCTTGGTCCGAACCTGCTCGGGCTTCCAGTGCGGCCGCAGCTCCCGGATGAGGCGCAGGGCGCCCGGGAGGATGTCGTCCTGGTCCACCGAAAGGCCGAAGCAAGGGACGGCGGCGGCCCTCGCGGCGCCCGGCGGCTCCCGGCAGCCCGCGCCGGCCGCCGCCTTCTCCTCCATGCCCCATGAGCACTGCGGGCACCGCGCCTGCCGCCGCAGGTAAAAGGGCGAGCGCGGCACGGGAGCCGAAGGGGGCACGGCCATGCCCGGCAGCCCCACCCCCTCGGAGCCGCCGCGCGAGCGCTAGTCCCTGCGGGGGGGCCCGGCGCGGCGGGGGGCGTGCGGGAGGGGCCCGCGGGAGCCCATGACTCCGGAGCCCGCCGCGCGCTCCGACCCGCGCCCGAGGCCGACCCGGGGACGCCGGGGCCCGCCGCGATTGTGACATCATCGCGGGCGGCGCGGCGCGGCGCGGCGGGCGCCCGGGAACGCCCCCGCCCCGCCTCCGTCCCGGCCCGCGGGCCGCCGCCGACTCCGCGGCCGCCGCTACCTGGAGCGCGGGGCGGGGGTGACGCCCCCGGGGAGGCCGTGACGCGGGGGGGGGCGGGGCCTGAGCTCGCCCCGCCCTACCTGGAGCGCGGGGCGGGGGGTGACGCCCCTGGGAGGCCGTGACGCGGGGGGGGCGGGGCCTGAGCTCGCCCCGCCCTACCTGGAGCGCGGGGCGGGGTGACGCCCCCGGGGAGGCCCTGACGCGGGGGGGGGGCGGGGCCTGAGCTCGCCCCGCCCTACCTGGAGCGCGGGGCGGGGGTGACGCCCCTGGGAGGCCGTGACGCGGGGGGGGCGGGGCCTGAGCTCGCCCCGCCCTACCTGGAGCGCGGGGCGGGGGTGACGCCCCCGGGGAGGCCGTGACGCGGGGGGGGCGGGGCCTGAGCTCGCCCCGCCCTACCTGGAGCGCGGGGCGGGGGTGACGCCCCTGGGAGGCCGTGACGCGAGGGGCGGGGCCTGAGCTCGCCCCGCCCCCCTCCCTCACCGCCCTACCTGGAGCGCGGGGCGGGGGTGACGCCCCCGGGGAGGCCGTGACGCGGGGGGGCGGGGCCTGAGCTCGCCCCGCCCTACCTGGAGCGCGGGGCGGGGTGACGCCCTGGAGGCCGTGACGCGAGGGCGGGGCCTGAGCTCGCCCGCCCCCTCCTCACGCCCTACCTGGAGCGCGGGGCGGGGGTGACGCCCCCGGGGAGGCCGTGACGCGGGGGGGCGGGGCCTGAGCTCGCCCCGCCCTACCTGGAGCGCGGGGCGGGGGTGACGCCCCTGGGAGGCCGTGACGCGAGGGGCGGGGCCTGAGCTCGCCCCGCCCCTCCCTCACCGCCCTACCTGGAGCGCGGGGCGGGGTGACGCCCCCGGGGAGGCCGTGACGCGGGGGGGCGGGGCCTGAGCTCGCCCCGCCCCCCGCCCTCCCCGCCCTACCTGGAGCGCGGGGCGGGGGTGACGCCCCTGGGAGGCCGTGACGCGAGGGGCGGGGCCTGAGCTCGCCCCGCCCCCCTCCCTCACCGCCCTACCTGGAGCGCGGGGCGGGGGTGACGCCCCCGGGGAGGCCGTGACGCGGGGGGGGGCGGGGCCTGAGCTCGTCCCGCCCTACCTGGAGCGCGGGGCGGGGGTGACGCCCCCGGGGAGGCCGTGACGCGGGGGGGGGCGGGGCCTGAGCTCGCCCCGCCCTACCTGGAGCGCGGGGCGGGGGGTGACGCCCCTGGGAGGCCGTGACGCGGGGGGGCGGGGCCTGAGCTCGCCCCGCCCTACCTGGAGCGCGGGGCGGGGTGACGCCCCTGGGAGGCCGTGACGCGAGGGGCGGGGCCTGAGCTCGCCCCGCCCCTCCCTCACCGCCCTACCTGGAGCGCGGGGCGGGGGTGACGCCCCGGGGAGGCCGTGACGCGGGGGGGCGGGGCCTGAGCTCGCCCGCCCTACCTGGAGCGCGGGGCGGGGGTGACGCCCCTGGGAGGCCGTGACGCGAGGGCGGGGCCTGAGCTCGCCCGCCCCTCCCTCCCGCCCTACCTGGAGCGCGGGGCGGGGTGACGCCCCGGGGAGGCCGTGACGCGGGGGGGCGGGGCCTGAGCTCGCCCCGCCCTACCTGGAGCGCGGGGCGGGGGTGACGCCCCTGGGAGGCCGTGACGCGAGGGGCGGGGCCTGAGCTCGCCCCGCCCCCCGCCCTCCCCGCCCTACCTGGAGCGCGGGGTGACGCCCCAGGGCGGGGCCTGAGATCGCCCCGCTCCCCGGTCCCCCCAGCCCCCCCCCCACCCTCCCCGCCCTCCCGGCCCCCGCAGCCCGGGGCTTGCTCCCCGGCCTCTGAGACTGCGAGGCGGCTGGTCTTCCTTCCTCTCGCCGCAGAGGGGCCGCTCTCCCCGGGCAGCTCGGGGCAGGGCCGGGGGAGGCCTCTTCCTGCGCCCCTGCTCCAGCCCGGAGGTCGGAGGTCCGCCTGCCGTCGAGAGGTCGGCTTGGGCTCGCCACCTGTGCCCCTGGTCTCTGCGCCCGTCCCTGGGCTCCTGCGGGAGTCCCCTGCTGCATCTCGAAGGCTCTTCCCTCCAGGGGGGCTCTGTCCTTCCTCCCCCGCCCACACGTATCCTCATGGGGAGGCGACACCGGGTGATGCCTGCGCACGGTGGATGTGCCAAGGGGAACTGAGCTCTCTTGCCTTCAGGCCGGTGGGAGAGCTCTCGCTGCCCCATCCAGAACAGTGCCTGCGGAGAAGGGGCCTTTTCCTGTTCCTGCAAGTTATCCTTTGCCTCTTCCGGAACCTCTAAGCACAAGGCCGCTATCACTATTGCTGTCCAGGATCCAGCTTTGCCCAGCGGCACTTCCGCGATAGTGGAGACGTTCTACATCCGAGCCGTCCAGGGCAGTGGCCTCCAGCTACATGTGACTGTCCAGCCCTGGAAGTGTGGCTACTGTGACACTTGATTCTACTGTTAGAAGCTCTATGTGGCTATCACATTGGACAGCTCAGGGAGATGATGGAGAAACCTGCCTATTTCAGATCATGCAGCCCCAGGATGTCAAGCTGGAAGGGACACTCACTGACCCCAACCCTGTCTTTTCTGCAGTGAGGAAATGAAGCCAGGCTGACAAGAGAACTTACAGAATAAGGGCAGGTGATCTGAGGCTGGGCTCCATGGTCCTGAACACAAGGCTCATGCTCTTGGCTCTGCACCGGGGACCCTGCAGACAGCGCCTGCCTTCAGGAATCTGCCCTGGGGAGCCCCAGGGTCCCGCACAATCCCAAGAGGTCGCAATTCTAGAGGTATGAGGTTTACCGGGAGGCCTGGTCGGGCCACTCAGTGCTTCACCTCTTTTTGGTCAAAAAGTAGGGGTGAACCACTACTGTGAAGAGGGACAGCGTCTATGGCTTGAGGGCGGTGCTGCGTCTCATTCCCCAACGTATACACTCCATGCCATAGTAGGTGGAGCAAGAGTGGGAGAAGACTTCAACCTGTCCCATGTGAGCGCCCCAGGTCTGTTGGAGGGGGGCAGCAGTGTGCATGGCTGTGCGCTTGTGTGCGTGTCCCCTTGCGAGGTGTGTGCAGCTCTGTACCTGTGAAAGTGTGCCTGCACCAGGTAAGGTGGAAAGCCCCTAGCATCTGAGTCATCTGGGCTGAGTTCTAATCTCAACTTTTCACATTTTAACGAGTCGTCTTGGTCAAATGCCTTCCATTCCCTGAGCCTTAGTTTTCCCACATGCAAAAAGGGAGTATCAGTCATATCTCTGACGTGCTACATGTTCAGGTGATGATGTCTTGGGCTGCATGTGTAAATGGTGACGTGGACCAGGGGGTGAGAGGGTTTGCAGTGCACGAGAGGCAGAATGGGACCTGAGCTTGAGGCAGGCTTCTGCCAGCTAGGAGCATCTTTCTGACCCACAGCACACTATCACAGCATTAGCCCCGGTCCTGCAGGGACTGGAGGGAGCGTGGATCTGGCTGTGTGTGTAAACAACTAACTCCAGCTGAGCGGGGATCAATGGCATCATCCGTGTATGTAGGAACCTGTGTGTGCAGGTGAGTGTGTAGTTTGTCATTCTGTGTCACAGTCTTATCTGCATATGATACATGGCTGCACCTCTTGCTTCAGACCCCAGTGAACCCAGGTGCAACGGGTTTCGAACATGAAGTCTTTATTCTGTTTGTTCTCAAAGCAGGGAAGAGCTGGCGCTGGAGGCAAGGCGAGCGCCTGGGAGGAGCTCCACACCCCATGCCCCTGCGTGAGGGCACAGGCAGGGCAGTGTCCCAGGGGCTGCTCTAGCTCTAACAGAGGGCTGAAGGCAAGGCCCACCTGGGCAGCAGAGGGCTGAAGGCAAGGCCCACCTGGGCAGCAGAGGGCTGAAGGCAAGGCCCACCTGGGCAGCAGAGGGCCTCAGCGGGCCAAGGCAAAGCCAATGCGATTGTTATGCCGATCAAACTCCGTGTAGAACTTGCGGATGAAGCTGGCGCCCAGGACCCAGACAGGCCCAGTGGGCGGTGGGACATCCAGACCGTGGAGGGCCAGGGTGCACAGGTCTTCATTACCATAGGGATCCTGGTGGGAAGCAAGAGAATTTCCCCACTGCCTGGCCCATGGGCTTTCTCCTTGCCTTTTGACCCCCGCAGCTGTCCTCAGCAACATCCCTCCTTCCTCCCCCATCCACTTCCTCCGCCCTGGCCCTCTCAAGCCATCATGCGCCCTCCCGGATGCCAGTACTGAGCTAGACACTGGGCCAACGATGCATCAGGCCAAGTGCCGCCTTCCCGAGCTTACAGTCTGGCAGACCTTCTGAGCCGAGGAAAGGTATTGAGCTACGCTAAGTCTGTCGAGTAAGGAGCAGAGCCTTACTGGGGCATTTGCCCGGAAGATGCAGACAAGGGGATGCGCAGTGATTTCCAAACATTGCTGCACGTTGGAATCACCTGAGGAGTTTTGAAAAACACCGATGGCCAGGTGCCACCCCCAGAGGTTCTGACTTAATAAGTATGGGATGTGGCTTGTTACTGGGTTTTTTAAAAAAGATTTATTTCCTTGTTTATTATTTTAGAGAGAGGGAGAGAGCACGAGCCGGAGGAGCAGAAGAAGAGGGGGGAGAGAATCTCAAGTAGATTCTGCGCTCAGCGTGGAGCCCAACGTGGGGCTCAATCTCATGACCAGAGCCAAAACCAAGTCAGAAGTTAACAGGCTGTGCCACCCAGGCACCCCTTATTGCTGGGATTTTTAAAGCACCCAGGTGACCCTAACATATAGCTAAAGTTAGAGAACCACTGATGTGGCAGGTGATCCATGCATAAGGCCTTGTCCTTTTTCTTTTTTTTTTTAATTTTATGATAGTCACAGACAGAGAGAGAGAGAGAGGCAGAGACACAGGCAGAGGGAGAAGCAGGCTCCATGCACCGGGAGCCCGACGTGGGATTCGATCCCGGGTCTCCAGGATCGCGCCCTGGGCCAAAGGCAGACGCCAAACCGCTGCGCCACCCAGGGATCCCGGCCTTGTCCTTTTTAAAGGGTCCCTGCCCACCCTCCCACGCTCCTACCCTGTCGTGGAGGGACGGCTCAGAGCCTCACCTGTAACACATAGTCCACGCTGGTAAGTGTGTAGGCTCTCCCTCCGAGGTGGAAGGAGATGTCGGGGAGTGTAGGCACCTGGTTACAGTTCACAACGTACTGAGGGGAAGGCAAAGGGAGCCCCGTTGAGTGTGGGAAGTCTACCAGCAGACACAACCCGGTAGGGCTGGGTGCACGGCCCACCCCCTCCCTGGGGGACCAAGCCACACGTGGGAAGAGCGAGGAGAGGAGGGGAAGGCCCAGAATGGCCCTGTTTGGGACCTGATGCTTCCTGGGGTAATTCTGGGTCCTGGGCCAGGTGGTGCTTCCCCAGCTTCTGACCTCATTTGTGCTCAGCTCCTGGGCCCCCAGGGTGTCCATGAGCAGCCTCAGGGAGCTGGTGGGGCCCGAGATGTACGATGCACCGGTATCGACCACTACCATGCAGCCCTCCTCACAGACCAAGGTGGCCGACCTCACAGACACCCTGGGGGAGGCCAGTCAGAGGATCAGTCAGCAGGCTGATGTGACGCCAGCCGGTATGGTGAGGCCCTGCTGGTGGTCCCGAGATGTGCTAGAGGATGCAAGGCGTGTGTGGGAGAAGGAAGGGTGCTGGCCCTTCCCTCAGGTGACCCCCCACCTCCTCTCAGTGGCCCCCCTCCCCCTCCCCTCTGCTCCTCGTAGCTCCGCGTTTCCCAGCCCTGGACAGAGCACTCAGGGAGCCAGTGTTGGCAGCGCCTGGAGAAGTGACTGAGGAGAGAGGACAAGATAGTAGCACTGCTCCTTCCCAGCCCCACACCCTAGCAGCAGCAGCATTTGCAGAGGGCACGAAGGGTCCAAGGCTCCTGACCCTTTCATTTTGATCTGCCAGGAACCAGTCTTGCTGACGCTCACGTAGTGGAAATTCCCTTGGTAATACTGGGGGTCGCTGCCTCCCAAGACGACCTCTCCTCCGAGCAAGTGAGAATTCCTAAAGGAAAGATCAGAGCTCCTGAAGACCCATAACCTCTAACTTCGAGACCTAGCAACAGAGGAAGCTGCGCCAGGGTACAGGGGAGACGGGAAGGATGGCAAGACTGGGAAGCTGCGAGAACACCACTTGTCCACCTTTCTTGCCCCTCCCCAAGACAGAGCAGAGGAGGTTCCAGGATAGTTCAGCTGCACCCAATAAAGCATCCCCACAGAGAAGGAACCGGCACAAGCAGAAAGCAAGATGAGAGTTGGCCCCGCCCTCACTTGGGTGTGGGGAGCTGCAGGTTGAGCAGGTGCTTGGGTGGAGTGGGGGTGGGTAAGGGGTGGGAGGCGAACTAGAGGGAGGAATGGACAACTTTAGCATCCAGCAGAGGCTGGGCCTGCCAAGGCGGGTTGGGGTTGGTGGCGTATAGAATCTGGACCAGGTGTTCAGGAGGGTCAAGGCCAATTCTCAGCTCCTTACTTGGAATTTCTGCAGAGAAAGAAACACAGCAGAAAGGAGGCCTGTGTTTCAGCTGAGCCTCATAGGCCTCTCGCTGGAGGTGCTGGTGGTGGGTATGATGCACTTTTTTTACCCTTTAGGTGAAGGCACTTGCCTGAAGCCGCTCAAGTGGTGGGTGGGGTTAGTGGAGCCAGGCTCCTGGTGCCCGGTCCACAGCTGACCCCCTTGCCTTCCTCTCCTCCCTGCTGCACGATGCCTTCCACAGCTCAGGACCTGCCCCCGGTGTGTGAGTGTGGGCTGCTTTCCAGTGTGCATGTGTGGGACGGTTTTCCAGCATACGTGTGCTTGACAGTGTGGGTGTACGCATGTTATGCCAGCGAGTGCGCTCGACTGCCCTTTTACAAATTCCATACCCAGGTGCAGTGTGCTATCACCAGCCCCCTCTGCGACTCTCCTGACATTTCAAGATCCCTCTCATGGTCCCTCCTTCTTGTCTCAGGGTCAAGGTAAAGGCAAGGCCTCTTCTCAACAAGGCCATTCTTTCTGCCTGCTGGATTCTCCTCCTTCCCATGGCCTCCAGGCTCCTGTGCCCTCAGTGATCTCCTTCTTCCCACAGTTTGTCTCTTGCTTTCCACTGGCTTCTCCCTCTACCTGCAAGCGCGCTCCAGCCTCCCCCAGCATTTCCAAATACCCACCCACCCTTCTCTCTACTTCTCCCTGCATCTCCGCCAGCACCCTCTTCTGATGTCCCCTTCCCTACCGAATCTCTCCGTCTTCCTCTCAACTGCTGGCCATCTGGCCATGCTCCATCTCCAAAACAGCCCTTCCTGAGACTCCTCCTGGCTGCCGGGCCCATTGGTGGTCTTTTCTCAATACCTCGCATTTTCTTTTCTCCCTTTTGCTCGTCTCCATTTTACCTGTGTGATTTCCCTGGACCCTGACCCTCCCTTCCACTAGCCTTGTGTTCCTACTCTTATGATGCCTTGTGTCCAGCTCTTATTATCTTTCCAAACCCAACAGCTTGGTGTGGGTTACAGCCCTGCTCAACAGTGGACAGTGGCTTCCCCAAGGCTAGCTGAACTGTGCATGTAAGCTCAGTCCAGAGGTGAAAGGCACCTACGGGTTTCAGCCTCATGCTCCCCATTGTCGCCCATCATGTTGTGATGTTTCTTGTCTTCCTTCCAGACTGTGGGCTCTGTGAGGGCAGGGACTGTGTCTTGTACACCTGTTTGTGGCTGCACCCCAGAACCTCCCACAGTGCTTGGCACATAAGCATCCAATATTTGTTGAATCAATGAGTGAGCGAATGAATGAATGAATGAAGTCCGCTTTCTGTGTGAGAGGGGTCATGGGCTACTCGTAGTAATGCTTGACTTTCCGTCAGCCCGACCCTGCATTTTCCTCTTGCTCTGGAACACTTCCATCATTGTAGAAAGTTGTATTAGTACTGCTCTAGATCTGTGCTACCGCTGTGGCTGCTGAGCAATTGAAATATGGATAGTGTAAAAAAGATATTGAATTCTTAAAAAATTTTACTTAATTTAAGTGGTGGCTTCCATATTGGGAGTGGAGCTCTGCATATGGATTGAATACCACCTAATCATGAACACGTAAAAATTCCAGCCCCAGCTCTCTTCCTGCTCTCCCAGCTCTCCTGCCTCCTACCCTCCCCCCACCCCACACCCCACACCCCCGACTCAGCCCCTGGAGCCCCAGGCTCACCTGCTGTAGTAGACTGAGAAAACATCCTCCTTTAGCACCCCTTGGGAGAGGATGTGGTCAAAGACGGGGGTGACCCCACCAACAGCCTGTGCAGGGAAGCCCATGCCCAGAACCCCATCAAACTTGGCCAGCATGAAGGGTATCAGGGGCAGCTCTGTGACCTCTCCAAACGTCTGTGTCACTGTGATTCCGCCCACCTGTGGGAGGAAGGACCAGAGGAGACCAAGCCTCCTGCCCCGCCCCAGGCCAGGGTCTAGTCTAGGGCCCACACGCCCTGGGGTGGAGGAATTTGGGATGAGAGCCTTTCCTCAATCCCCCCACCCGCACATATCCTCTCCTCTAATACTCGCGCAAGCTGTGGGGGTCCAGAGAGAACCGAGGTTACCCCGGGACTGGGAGGGGCAGAGGCTGAGGAGGCACTACTGCCAGGCAGTAACAGAAGAGGTGCCGGGAGCTCTCACACCCCCTCCCCAGGGCCCCAGCTTCCACACTGGCCGCACTGGGCCTAAGTTCCCTACTCCCACCACGGGTAAGGATTTCTTCAAAAAGCCAGGCTTTGTCCCCTGTTTCACAGACGAGGGGAGGGTGAGGGCTCCTACTGATTTGTTCCACATTCTACGCGTACCCCTCCCATAACTCTGACAGAGCAGGAGCCGGAGGAACCCCAGAACAGAGAGGGTCAGATGCAAACCAAAAGGAAAAGAAAACCAAGCCCTGGCCTTAATCCCATACTCTAATCTCAGCTGTGACCTTAAAACCTATGCCTGACCCTAAGACCGCTGACACTGACCTGACCCTGATATTTCAGTCCAGGGTCTGGTTAAAAGCCCAGCCAGAGCCAGGTGACCTCAGGAGGTCAGCTGATTGAAGGCTGTAGGGCTTAGGATAAGTGCTCACGGGAGTTAGAGGTAAAGGCCCCCATCAATCACCCAGTGCCCAGCCAGGAGCTTGGGCTTGCTCTGTCCTGGGCGCTGCCGTTTTGAGTCACCAGCCCCTGGCAGGCAGCAAGGGGGGGTGCTCCCCAAATCCCCAGGCTCCAAGGTGTGCTGAACTGTACCCTACCCAAGTATGGGCCCTGGAGTGGCAGGAGAGGTCTGGGAACGAGAAGGGCAGGGGTCAGATGAGCTAGGGGCAGTCCCACTTACAGTCACCAAGTCCTGGCTCAGGAAGCCTTTGACCTTCCCAGATCCGTAGCGGATGGTGAAAGTCGTCCCGTTCTCCATGTAGCTGGAGGATTCCGAGGAGTCATAGAGGCAGTGAATCTCTGGCAGAGGGACATAGGTTCAGGTATGTCCAAGGGAGCCCTGGGCAGGGGGCCTTGCAGGCAGGTGCGTTGGGTGTATGGCCCGTGTGGTGGAGGACTTAGGTGCAGGGGTGGGGAGGCCCCGAGCCTGGAGGCTTGAATGAAAATGTGTTTCATCGACCAAGGACTGTTCCTTGGGCCCCTGTCATGCGCCCATATCTGTGAGAATTGTCTCGAATGGAGCATTTCACAGAAGTTTCGAATGCAGGGATGAGGAAAAGATTCTGGTCCCAGCAAGCACTCACCAAGGGGTCACTGACTAAGGAAAGGGGTAGAAGACGCCCAGTGCCTGTGGTGAGTCTGAGAATTCAGTCCTCTCCCAATCTCGGGAAAGGGGAGCGAAGGCCTTGTGGGTGAGCTGGGGACTCCCAATGCTTTTGCCATTTTACCTTGGTGGTCGTACAAGGAGGATGGGGGACATTTCCGCCTGTCCTCTCGGGGGCGGGGGTAGCGGGGGCAGCGGGAGTGAGGCAGGACTGGCTCGGCGCCGAGGGGGCTTGGGGACAGGGACCGCTGGCCGTGCAGGGAAGGTGGCGGAGGGGGCTCACCACACGCTGTGTAGAGAGGGCTGCACTTGGTGGAGGGCACCCAGAGGTTGGCCGAGCCCGTGTCGAAGATGACTTTGAAGGTCTGGGGTGGGCTGCCGATGCCGATCTCGCCGTAGTATTGGGTCTGTGAACGAGGGAGCGGAAGAGGCAGCTGGAAGAGCTCGGGCGCCTTGGGCCTTGGGGTTTGGCCTGATGCCCCCCTGGCACTCGGGGTGAGATGCGAGGACCACGCCGCCTTCTCTGGGTCTCCAGGTTCCGGCAGGGCCTGGGTGGGAGGCTTGGCACCGTCTTACGACTTCTCAGGAGGTGAGACAGGAGGGCAAAGTACACCTGCTGAAGATGAGGCAGGAGGCGCCCCACCTCTCGAGGGGCTGCTGACGCCGTCGGCTGTCATGCCGTGCGGAGCGCAGCCCGGTCACGGAAGCCAGCCCCTGCGGTCACGTTCCGGTCCTGCCCGCCAGGTCACCTGCACTCGAGGCCCAGAGCCTAGATTCCGGGGCTCCCAGCCTAACTGCCTCTGGGCTCCAGGCTGCCCTCCATGCCTCAGCCTTCCTAGCTCTGAAATGGGCATTTTATGGGCTGCCAGATAGCTCAGCAACCCCGTCAGAGGCAGCACGGAGAGAGCAAAGCAAGCCTTGGGCCCGAGAGAGAAAGGAGATGGAGGAGCAAGGCCCCAGCCCGGCACTCACGTCCAGGTAGTTGGTGAGGACCACGGGGGAGGTGCTGTTGCCAGAGGAGAGTCTCTTGGTGAACTGGTTCCACTCAGCCCCAAGCCTGGCCACATCCACGCCTCGCTCCTTCAGGCTTTCCCGGATGGAGGGCATTTTCTTGAGGAAGATCCTGGCCCAGGGTGAAGGAGGAAAACCCAGAAGAGCTCTGTACTCCCCCACAATAATGGTGGAGGCCCCGAAGCTTCCAGTGCGACTCTCTCTGCCCTAGCCCAGACACCTGCGAATTGCTCCTTGTGCTTTTGGGCCTCTCAGAGAGAATTTGCAAGTCCCCTTGAGTAAATAATCCTCAACACTGTGTAATTGGGATCACCGTCTGCACAGCCATCTGCGCTCTCATTCCCTCGTTCCATAGTTACAGGTTGGCCGCCCACTCCAGGCCTGCCCTGCACCAGGTACTAGAGACGGGAGAGAGATTCCCGCTGCTTCTGCTTCGGGGAGCACCAGCAGGCGAGGAGCCTGAGGGGGAAGGGGAGAAAACTGCAGTGACCTCCCCTGGGAGAGGACGGCTGGCGGGCTCCCCCCCAGGGGGGCCGGGGAGGCAGTGCTGTGGGTGTGGGAGGCCTGTAGGTGGCAGCAGGCACCCACTGCAGCCTGCAGGGGCTTCTGCGCTGGGTTCAAGGTAGACCCTGGCCAGGGGGGGGGGGCTGGACCAGATCTGCTTGTCCAGGGGTGGGGTGGTGAGTGGAGGGGGTGGAGGGGTGGGGGGATGGTGCAAGGGAGGGAAGCAGCCAGCGTCTCCAGAGTCCCTGTGCCCCCCGCCCTTGGAAAGATGTCCTTGAGCTGGAGCTGGAGTCCCAGGCTTTATGCTTCTTCCCCTGACTCCTGCCGCTCACCTTTGGGAGGCAGAATCGAAGACGCCGGGGGGGGGGGGGTGGGGGGGGGGGGTGGGGGGGGGTGGTGGGGGGGGGGTGGGTAAAACACACCGAGAGCGGCCACCTGGCGAGTGCCAAGCACTATGCACGCCCTGACGCAGCCCTCGTGAGGCCATCCTTGTCCTCACTGTATGGTGAGGAATTGGAGGCTCATGGGGATGAGGTGACTCGGAAATGGTGGAGCAGGGATTCGAAGCAGCGTGTCTGGTTCTGTTTCCCAGAGAGCATCCCCAGGGCTCCCCTGTGAAGGCTCTTTGTGGAAGCCTGGAGGGAGGTGTCCCTAGCTGTCGGCCAGGAGGCCCCAGGATTGCGGCCCGGTTGATGGAGAACCAGTCTTCCGTTCCAGATGCGGGTCCACCTCTACTGTCCTTTCCCGCTCACACCCGGCACTCCCGGACCCCATGATGCCCACGGGCCAAAATGCAGCTTTCCTGCCAGCCAGCGCCACCACATCTCAATGGAAATGACTTGTCACAGTCATGTCACCATTTACTGTTCACAAAGCAGTTCCACAGTTATGATCTTGTTCTCAGCCATCCCACAGGGTGGGTGATTCTTCCCATTTTACAGATGGGAAACATGGAGGAACAGAGAAGGCCTGATCCCAAGGAGGGTGCATTCTCTACCATCTACCCTGAACAGCCTCCGCTCTGGACCTTTACTTTTCCCATTCTCCTTTCAAAAGTCCCTTCCCCTCCACACCCCACCTTTGCTTGGGCTCCTGCTTCATTTTTCCTGGGGCACTCACAGCCAGCGCTGCACAGCCTAACGTTTATGGTTCATGGCGGTGGTGGTGTCTGGTGGTGAGGACAGTAGTTGTGAGCGCACGCTAAGACCCCTTATTACTGTGTGATTCTGGTCAGCTTACCTACCCCTCTGGGCCTTTCGCGAGCCCCCCCCCCATTAACTCCTCTATAAAAAGGGATGAAACATGGGCACCTGGGGGGCTCAGTGGTTGAGCATCTGCCTTCAGCTCAGGGCATGACCCCGGGGTCCCCCGGATTGGGCTCCCCGCAGGGAGCCTGCTTCTCCCTCTGCCTGTGTCTCTGCCTCTTTCATGAATAAATAAAGTCTTTTAAAAAAAGGAATGACACCGTAGTCCTGCCTCACTGCAGATCAGATGAGCAGCCCACTGCTCAGTAAACGGAAAGTGTGTGTACGAGAGGCTAGGAAAGCGTCTGGAGAATGGGATCCCGTGTTCGGAGCTTGCAGGACCCTGCCCACATAGCAGGTGGCGACCTTCTGTGTTTCAAAAGCCTCTTTCTGCTCCCCTGGCCCCCAACCCCTTCTTCTCTTTTTAAAGAGAACAAGGGAGAATGTTTTTACCTTGCTCTGTCTTTACCCTGGGGGTGGGGGCTGCGCTCAGGCACAGGCTCTCACCCCACACCCCTACCCTAGCAGTGACCCCTCTGGGAGCCTCAGAGCAGGGCAAGAAGATTTGGAAACAAAAGGCCCAATGTGTGCTGAGGCTCAGCGTCTCATAGGGGACCTACCTCCCGGAGCCTCTGTGTCCTCACTTAAAGTGGGACTGCTGGGTTGTCGGGAGGACAGTTTGGGTCATGTGCAAAGATCCTGTGCAATCCTAGGTGCTAAGCCTGTGAAACGCCTATGGCTGTTAAAGCCTGCCCTCTTAGGGGCACCCAGCTGGCTCAGTCACTAAAACATGTGACTCTTGATCTTGGAATTGTGAGTCCGAGACCCACATGGGGTATAGAGAGGACTCAAAAATGAAATCTTTAAAAAAGATCCTTGCCCTCTTGCCTTGAGGTCTTCAGGTTCCACCAGTCTCCCCACACTGAGACCTTCTCCTCTTGAGGTCCCTTGTCATCCTCCCCACACCCCAGCCTTAATGAACGTAATGAGCCCAGTTCCCATAGGGCCTGGCCCTGGATTTGGGTGTTAAGTTACGCCTCCCTCCTCCTGGCTGCCTTAAGCCTCTTCTTTTAACATTGGTGACAATCCACCCTATAGGACGATGGCAGCTGGGTTTTTGCAGCGTTGTCGGCATCACGCTGAAGGCTCTACATCCGTTACCTCATTAAATCTTCAAAGCCAATCTGCGAAGTAGGCGCTGTCACTATCTCTGTTTTCAAAATGGTAAACTGAGACCTCCAGAGGTTAAGTAACCTGCTCATGCTTCCAGAGCTAGTGAGGGGTGCTGGTGAGGCAGGATTTAAGCCAAGACAATTTAGCTCTAGAAGGCTCGTCTTCAACCACTATACGGTTTCTCCTTGATAGGCTTGCCCAGGCCACCCCCTTCTTAATAATTAGGCTGTGAGAGGCTTGAGAACAAGAGAAAGGTCTTAATCATCCGGGTCCCCACAGCACCCCTGGTGATCCGTGCAAGGAACAAAAGCTTTGGGCAGAGATCAAATGACCTGGCTCTTCAGTCTGAGAAATGTGCCACCACTGGCCGTGTGACCTTGGGCGAGTCATCTCTCTCCACGGGACCGCATCTCCCTGCCCTGCTGATGGTGAGGATGGATGACACCCCCTATCTGGAAGCCAGGGAGTTAGGAAGGTGGGAACTCCTGTCCCCACCCCCCCCCCACCCCCCCCCAGTTACCGTCTGAAGGCTCCGGTGTCTGCAGGGAGCCCGAAGGTGCAGGAGCCCCAGAGCACCAGCAGGAGTCCCCAGCGAGGCATTCTGCGTCTGGCCATGGTGCTTGGCCTGGGTGCTCTGCTGAAGCCTTGTGGCTTCCCCTTCTCCTTTTATGTGCTCTGTGCGTGGACTGGTTGCGGTTTTGCTCTGCCCTGATTTATTGTCCTGGGGTAGATACAAGGCAGCCAGGAATAAATCCCCCCCATGGGACGGGGCTAGGTGGGTGAAGGGTGACCAGATTAGGACCTAGTCAAGGAACCAGGGGAGGAAGGGCTGTGGGAAAGTGATTCTGTGCCCTGTGACGCCAGCAGCCCCATGGCGGCCTCGCCCTATAACCCCCTGACGGGGGCAGCGGCCGACGGGGAACAGCAGCGGTCAGGGGTGGGTCAGGGGTGAGACGGCCCCAAACCTCAGCTTCCCACCTCCCAGCCAGACACCGCCGTGCATACCCTTCAGCTCCATCCTCTGCATTAACCCTAGCTGTGTCCCTGACTGCCTCAATTTCCTTCTGGAACATGGGGGACTCTTGCTGGCTTGTTTGGGACAAAGCCAGGCCCCGGGAACTTGGGGCCCTGGTCAGCAGCAGCCGTTGGTGGGGAAGGACACCACAGCACCCTGTAGGGCAGCGCCCTGTGGGGCTCTCTGGAGGCAGGGAGCTGGGGGAAGGGCTGCATGCCTGCCTCCCTTGGACCTAGCGTTGGTGCGAGGGAAGGGCCGCCCTCCGGGGTTTGGGGCACCTGCTGCAGAAGGTGAGGTGGCCTTCCTGCACAGCCTTCTGGGCACAGTCTCTGCTCCCTTCTCTTGTCCCCTAGCCCCTGCTCACAGCCTGGGACTGCTCTCCATACGCACACTGGCCCCTAAGTCCCGGGTGGGTGCTATTTATTCAGCCTACGGTGCCCTCTCCTGGCTTCTCCTGCTCATCCTTCTGGGCACATTTCAAATATCACCGCTTGTCCTTCAAGCAGGCCCCGATTCAGCCTGGCACTGGCTGTCCTTCTGCTATGGGCTTCTACCTAGCGAGGCGAGCCCTTCCGGGAGAGCACACACCTCAGCTGTCCCAGATCAGATGAACCTGTGTATGGGCGTCTATTTCCTGCCCAAAGTGGTGTTTAGCACTTATCAAATGAGTGAACTGGGGAACTAGCTCTGGGCTGGCTGTCTGGGACCTGGGTTCTGGTTTTGACTGTACCACGAATTTGCTGTGTGACGTTGGGCCCCTCCCTTCCCCTCTCTGGGCCTCAGTCCCTAAATCTGTAGCATGAAGGAGATGCTGGGTGGCTCCTAGGGTGCCAGACACTTTAGTTTTTGTTCTTGGCCTCCAGGGTGGTGCTCTCTGCACCAGCTGGGAGCAGTAAAAACTTAGTAGAAATGGGGTGTCTGTGTGGCTCGGTCAATAGAGCATCTGACTCTCTGTTCTCAGGGTGGTGAGCTCAAGCCCCACCTCAGTCTACTTTTTTAAAAAAAAAAGACTTAGAGGAGCTAATCTCTGTTACTAATGTGTTGGCCAATAAACATGTTTGGTCCTCTGAGATCGTAACACCCTTACTGAATGACAGAAGGATCTGGTGTAAATTCTTTTTTTTTTTAAAAAAGATTTTATTTATTTATTTGTCAGAGACAGAGGATGTACAAGCAGGGGGAGCAGCAGAGGGAGAGGGAGAAGCAGGCTCCTAGCTGAGCAGGGAGCCCACCAATGCAGGGCTGTATCCCAGAACTCTGGGATCATGACCTGAGCTGAAGGCAGATGCTTAACCTACTTAGCCACCAAGGCGCCCCCCCACCCCCCATGTAAACTCTTATTGGAGAATTTTCAGGCACTGAGGTCGGCAGTGAAGGAAGTATCTGATGACAGGGGAAAATTTTTTAAAATCCCTCAACGTGGGGTATCTGTCTTGTCAGATTGAAAAAATATTTATCAAGCATTTGAATAGGCCTTGGTGCTCTTTACTCATTAGACAATATTCATTAAGCATTTGTTATTTGTCAGACACTTTTCTAGATGCGAGGACTACAAAGGTGACAAAAATAAGTACCATTTCTGCCCTTCGTGGATCTCACAGTCTGTAGGAGAGATAGATTATCATCACAACATAAATATAAAATAATAATGATGACCAGTACAGTCAGGGGGCTCTGGGAAGGCATCTCCAAACAAATGACACTTGAGTTGTCATTTAGGAAATAAAATTGGGTGGTAGATGGGATATGGGGAGCAAGGCTACACTGGCAGGCAATGAATAGCCCGAAGAGGGAAAGAAATAGAGTCCCAATGGGAGCAGCATGTGCAAAGGCCCTGTGGAGAGAGAGGAAACATGATGAGAATAAGGCCCAAATAAAGCCAAGTGTGGCTAGACAAGAAGTGGGGTGACACATGAGATGGAGAGGCAGAAGATGGTAAGAGCAAATGCTTGCTCTATGCTTATTATGTGCCAGATGCCGTTTTAAGTGCCTAATGCATTCTGCTCTCCTGATAACTACATGACGCGGTTCCTTTATTATTCCACTTTATAGATGAGGAAACAGGTACGGGAGGATTCAGGAAGGAACTTGCCTAGGATCACACTGACAATAACTGATGCAGTTGGCCTGTAAGCTTAGGCAGTATGTTATGTCCCAGAGCTCATTACGCAGCTGACTTGAGTGTCAAATTATGAAAGTTCTTTTCTTTTTCTTAAAGCTATTTACTTATTTATTTATTTATTTATTTATTTATTTATTTATTTATTTATTTGAGAGAGAGAGCATGAGCAAGGGACGGGTTGGGAGGGCGAGAAGCAGACCCTGGCTGAGTACAGAGCCCGTCATGGGTATCCCAGGACCCTGAGATCATGACCTGAGCCAAAGTCAGACACTTAACTATTTGAGCTATGCAGGTGCCTCAACCATGAAAGCTCTTGAGTTCTATGCTGTGTTTACCTTAGAACCAGGTTGGACTAGGAGAGGTGGGCATGCTGGAGAGAGAAAAGATTGGATAGACATGAGAAACATTTAGGAAATAAAACTGGGTGGTAGATGAGATATGGGGAGCAAGGGGGAGGAAGGTTTCTTGGTGCCTGGTGATGCTGAGGCTGTAGTGGAGGAAATCCTCCCAATCACCACAGCAAGGTTCCTGAGCAGGTAGGAGTGAGAAGATGAGAGGGCAGGGCGCATGCCCACAGTCGTTTACCTGCCAGGTACTGGAAGCCGAGGGTCCGTCTGTGCCGTGACTGTTATCTTCTCAGGCAAGTAGAGAGTAAGGACCTCCGCTGGGGCTTGGGGATCGGAGGGGCTTGGAGGCATCAGGGACACAGGGAAGGCTTGAGATGGTTATGGAAAGTGAGAAGGAGCTGACCAGGGAAACTAAGAGGTTTTCTGGGAGGAATTAAGACATTTAATGTCTGGAGATCGCCCCTTTGTAGGAAGCCAGTCTCCCCTGTTCTCTGCCTCCGTGCAGCCACCACAGCGCTTGACTGCTCAGGTACGGACATCAGGACAGCGTGTGGCTGGCCTCATCCGGGGCTGGGTGGTGCCAGGTGTGATCAAAGAGGAGGGACAGAGGGATTTGGGGTCCTAGCAAAAATGTTACTGAACGATAGACTGTGGACTACAAGCGGAGTGTGGGAAAGAAGTCAGGACATCACGGGATAGGATGAATGAAGGGGAAGGAAGTGGAGGGCCGTGGGCAAAGAAAGGACAAGAGGGTGGAACAGTTGAAGCCTAAAGCTGACAGACGAAGAGCTGGTCGAGAGTGGGATGGTTGAGAGTCTTGTCTAAGGTAGAACAGTGACAAGTGGTGGCAAAGCCAGAGCAGGATGTAGGGGTGAGGTCATTGGCAGGAGGACACTCAAGGAGCAGCGAGGCCAGCCAGGGTGCTGGCCAGGTCACCGTCTGCGTGAATCGTGATGTCATCCAGAAGGACTGCAGAGGGCATAGGGTAGAGGAAGGCTGTAAGTCAGAAGCCAAAGTCTTTGATAAATGAACGGGTAAGACCTGCACGTCCAGCAATGACAACTGGGAGGGAGGAGGGTCTCCTCCCAACGTCCACGTCAGCCCTGGGAGGCGAGCAGACCAGTATTCCTCTAACACAAGAGGAAACCAAGACCTAGGAGGTAATTTATCGCTGGTGCGTGGCACAGCGGGGCCCTGCATCTCCCCTGGGCCGTATCCTGTGTTACATGGTGGGGGGCACCCCAGAATCTCACTTCTCCCCACCTCGAGGTGCTCTGCTGACGGAGGATCAGTCGGGAATCTCAGGACAGCGACTGCAGAATGAGATTGTCTCCTGCAGAGACTGACAAGACGGGGACCTGTCCTGGCCAGGCAGGCGACTGGCCACCCTCTCCCTGTGCCCCTCCCCTAACCCCAGAGCAGGAGGAGCTGGAGCGAGTGGGGAGACAGGTCAGCCCCGAGGCTGCCTCTGAATGCCAGTGACCCCAGGCCTCTTTACGGGGCACCTACCCTGCATGGTGAGGACATGGTGAGGTGTTTTCTATTCTCTTGGCAGCCCTGGAAAGGGGGTGCTCTGGTACCCACCATTCAGAGGAGGCAGCTGGAGCTTCAGAGAGCTCCAACTGGGCGGGTGAGGGACAAGTTGAGCACCCAGCCTGTGACTCCTGGCCCAGCCCGTGTGGCTACAGGGGTCGGATGTGCTTGGCAGAGCCATGGGATTCAAAAGAGGAGGTGCTGAGCTGCAGCCTCACAGGAGGGAGCGTGCTTTCCCGTGGGGGGGCGGGCGGGAGCTCCTTGAAGCCCAGGGCCCAGCTGCGGCTTAGACAGCCGGCAGCGGGGCAGGGCAGCAGGGGCCTCAAGTACATTCTAGATTGACAGGGCTCTCCTGTGGCAAGGGCAGGGCCAGGGGGTCCAGCTCAAGGGTCGGGGTGCCCCCTGGCCCTAGGCACTCTCTAACCAGGTGACACCAGCAGTGGAGCATAGGTGTAAATAAGTGTGGATAACCCCGCAGGAGAGGGACGCATGTGGACAGGAGGGCAGCCAGGAGGGAAGCCCCAGGGATCGTGGGCCCTTGAAGGCTTCTCCCAGGGAAGCAGGGTCAGCTCTGTTGGTGCAGCCCCACAGGACAGAACTGAGGC